ATTCCCTGGGGAAAGTTTGCCCTTTTAAACAAAAGGGGGGGGGTTCTTCCCCGGTTGGGGGGAGGGGGGTTTTTGGCCCCCCCAAAACATGTTTTATTGGCCCCCCTTTAGGGTTCCCCCAAAAAAAAAAAAGGGGGAAAAAAAAAAAAAACGGGTACCCGGGTGGTGGATTCCAGAAAGGAAATGGGTTTTTTTTAAAAGGTGGTTCCCAAGGGAGAAAAACCCATTCCGGAGGGAAAACAGGGGGGGGGGGGGGGGCAAGCAGAATGGAGCATATAAAGGTCGAAAACGGGGTACCAACAGCAGTATGAGGCAGCCGTGCACCATGGCAAGCAAGCAAAAAGAAGTAGCGAGGAGCATGCAGTGTACAACACGCGCATTGTTCTCAGTCCCCGTACCACCAAATACACAAGACCAGGCCAAGCCCACAGCGTCTTTCGCGTGTTTCAAAACGCACGGCGGAATTGGAGGCAGAGTATGACCATCGTTCCCGACACACTATCAGACTGTTGACTTGCCGTCAATTCCTGATGGAACAGCAATAAAAAATATCAACGGCAGCAATACCACCACAACAACAACCACCACAACTGGCCGAGTATGGTCGTAAGCATACTATGCCCCACGCAGCGTCATTCTACGAGGTTCCTGCCAACCACGTCGGACAGCAACAGCGACAGACACCGACAGGACAACAATCACAACAGCAACGACCGCACACCTCATGGGCCAAGAAGACGAGCCCCGGCAAGCACGCCGCACGAACTCCCAGCAACTCCTCCTTCCTCGCGGCCTCTTCCGCCCGACTCGCCGTCTCTTCCGCCGCCCTGATCGCCTCCTCCTCCTCCCTCTCCCTCTTCCGCCTAGCCTCCGCCACTTCCTTCGCTTTTCTCTCCTCCTCCGACATCCCAACATCATCGCCGCCGACCCCGCAATCCACGGGCAAGGAAACCACCATGCTGTTGTTGGGCACCGCCACAGCCGCCCCTACTTCTGCCCCGTCGCTGCCTTCTCCCAAGTCCACCCACGATCCCAGCGAGGAGTTATCGTCCGCGGCAATGGCGGGGTCTTGTGGGTACATCCAGCCGTCCTGCTTGCGTGGACAGAACCCCGGGCGGCGTGTGTGTGAGATAGATAGCCAGCGAGGAATACTCGTGGAATACTATGTAGTGTAATCTTGTAGTATTATAATCGCTTCAAGCGTCGGTCTCAAATGCTACGACGGTGCCTAGGGAAGTACCCTAATATCGCGCTGGCCTTTTTCAACGGCGGTCCATGGGGGAGGGCCGGCCATTAGACCCCCGTCATTTGCTCGTTTCTTGAGTAAATTAGGTCCTAAAACAAAAATTTATACGACCCGAGAATACCACCACCCCCGTCGCCTGCCAATCAACAATAATATTACCAGCTTCGCTCGCATGTCCAGCACCCTTCTCATTCCTTTCCGCCAGCCCACCTTGTACCACGTCAGTACCTCCCTCAAACTTCATTAGATTATAGCCATACAGTCACAGAGACTACGGGTTCAAGAAATGACCACAGCAGTCGAAATGGCATGCGTCGTCCAAGTCTTTACAGTGAGCGAGTACACTTTTTGCTCCTTTTCGTAAGCTAAACTCGCATGTCCAGCACCTCCCTCAACCCTCTCCACCAGCTACCCACCTTGTACGTCAGCACTCCGTCAAACGCCGCCATCGCCCTTTCCGCCGCATCGCGGACAGCGTCCTCCTCTCCCGCACCCGCCATACCCCCCTCGCCCCGGCAAGCCTCCGCCCACGCCAAGTACGCCTCCCGGGCCCCCAAAAGAAACGCCCAGCACTCACGCTCGCGCCCAGCATCGCCGTTCACCGCCGCCCCCGCCACTACCACCGCGCCATCTCTTCTGGCACCCCCGCCTTCCTGTAGAGGTGACGACGATGCCACTGACTCCAGCAGCTTCTGCACGGCCTCCAGGCGAGCCGAGAGAACCGTCGGCGTTTCCGATTCGTCGTCGTCGGCTTCGTCGCCTCCCGCCGCCGCCGCCCAAGACAAAAGCCCCGCTCCCCGGGCACCGCTACCGCCTCCGATGACGGACTGCTGGTACGTCTGGAGCACCAGGTGGCGGGCCAGCGCGTTCGCCTGCTTTTATGATTTTCAGGGGGCCGAGGGCGGCGATACGCACCGAAAAAAAAAAAAAATCAGTGGGTTCGCCTGATTTGACTATCAGGGGTGCGAAAAAGAATAGTACACAGCATGTTCGCCTGGTTTTTGTTTGTCAGGGATGCGAGGGGCTGGCTCCCAATCGTGACACTAATATTACACCCCCTCGTACAACAACACGTAGTGTAGCCTAGTTGATGTCAGGTGATGGCTGCCGCCAGAGGTAAGCGGGGCCTCCACCCCCACCCTCCGGGTGCGCTCTTCGCCGCCACCGCCACTGCGCTCCATGACATCCTCCCAAACTTCGTTGCCGTTGAAACCCTCTTCCGAATCCGGAAAATCCCCCGCTCGGTCGACCCTCGTTCCTCTCAAGGTATCACCCGATGGCATCCGGAGGCCAATATCAAACTCCACGGGCCTGTGGAGCACGGCCACTTTTTGGAAAAAAGCACGATGAAAATTAGACCACAAGTCAGCGGCTGAGTTGTGGTCTACCAAGTCATCGTGCTTCTTTACAAGGTGATCACCCTTCACACGTCCACGGAGTTTGAAA